GGGGTTGTGGCGTGTGTCGTGCACGGCTGAAGGTCCAGCCAGGGTACTGTACCTCGCGAAACCCCATTCTAATCATCAAGGCCCATCCCAATCGCCTGGACCCTTGGGGGAGTGTTGTTGTTGGCTCACCCGGGTGGTTACCCGCGGGCACATTGGGCTCCCGTGAGAGGGGAGAACTACTTCTGGTGTGACCCAAGACACCACGGGCTGTTGTGCGTTGTTGTTGGCTCATCCTGGCGGTTACCCACGGGCACATCGGGCCCCCGCGAGAGGGGGGAACTTCTTCTGGTGTGACCCAAGGGGCCCTGGGCTGTTGCGTGCTGTCCACCTGCGCTGCCGCTGCTGTTGCTGCTGCCGCTGCTCCTGCTGCTGCTACTGCTGCTGCGGTTGTTGGCTGTGTTTCGGGGTGTGTGCGTGTGTGTGTGTGTGTGTGGGTTGTCTGTGTGTCCGTCGTGCTTGGTCGTGCTGCTGCTGCCCTGAGGTCCCCGGTGGGAGGTGGGTGCGTGCGCCCAGCGGGCCACGTCCACATCCTGCCGCGGTTTGCGTTTGTCTGCGTGTGTGTTCGTCCTGTTTGTCTTCTCCGGGGTTGTGCTTTTGTTGGTGCTGGTTTGGTTGTCTGTGTGTCGTTTGTCTTTGGTCCTGCTGCTGCTGCTGCTGCCGCGGCTGCTGCTGCTCTAAGGTCCTCGGTTGGGGCATGGGTGCGTGCGCCCGGCGGGCCACGTCCACCTCCTACCGCTGCTGCTGCTGGTGTTGTTTGCTTTGTCTGTTTTGTCGGTTTCTCCTGTCTTTTCCTTGTTGTTTGCTTGTGTGTCCGTTGTGCTTGCTTCTGCTGCTGCTGCTGCTGCTGCTGCTCTAAGGTCCCCCGTGGGATTGTGGGTGCGTGTGCCCAGCGGGCCACGTCCACATCCTGCCGCTGCTCCTGCTGCTGCTTGCTTTGTCTGCGTGTGTGTTCTTCTTGTTTGTCTTCTCCGGGGTTGTGCTGTCATGTGCTGTCTGTTGGTGCTGCTTGGTTGTCCGTGCTTCTGTTGTCCTTGGTCCTGCTAATGCTGCTGCGGCTGCTGCTGCTCTAAGGTCCTCGGGGGGGGTGTGGGTGCGTGCGCCCGGTGGGCCACGTCCACCTCCCACCGCCGCTGCTGCTGCTGCTGCTGTTTGTTTTGTTTTGTTTTTCGGTTCCACATAGAGTCATAGAGGAGTCAAAGAGGGTTCCGAAGCCGTGGGGCTGCTGCGACCTTTATGCTCAAATCTTAGGTCTTTTCCGTATTTCCCTAGGTGTCCTTTTCTTTTTCAGGCTTGGCGCTGGCATTCTACTGCCCATGGACCCTGCATTGCAAGAGATCCTTCAGGTTTTTAGCAACATGTTGCAAGATGCGCGTGACGACCGTGATAGAGTCAAGCTTATTCTTGTGACAACAGCAGCTGATATCCTGGAACATTACGGTCTCTCTGAGCCTTCGCCTGAAGTCCTTGATCACGTGAGGAAGTTGAAAAAAGGACTCAATGTAGGGCGCATCCGGGCTGATTCCATTGTGAGAGCATCGGCCTGCACAGAAGTTAGCAGCTTGCCCGAAAAGCGCAAAGCAGATTGCCTGTCGCAGTCAACTTTGGACAGCTTCATTTGCGAAGAGTAGCAGCCCCAGGCTTCATGAGGCGACCTTCACTAGTGATGCCAGCTCGGTAGGGGTGAGGAGCCCCAGTGCCTTGCAACACGACGATGAGAGTGACGACGGCCATGACGAGGTTTGCGAGCGTTACAAGTCCAATGCCGAGTACCTCTTCTGCAAAACGCATGAATGTTTGCAAGCTGGAAACATCCAGAAAGCCCTAGCGCTGCTGGATAGCCTTTCCTCCTTTGTCGGGTATGTTGGGGATGACTTTATGGTCTGCCTTCTTGATCTTATCAGCTGGGGTTCAAAAGTCAACAGCAGTGGCCTGGGCCAACCTCAGGCGCTTGATCCTTCGCAAGCCCTCGAGCAAGAGGTGGTTGAACGACGCGCTATCTCTGCCAACACGTGTGTCAATGATCCGTCTAGGTGGAAGCGACTGCTTAAGCCAACTGCGGATGGAAGAACCCCAACCTTGCAGGAAATCCTAGGTCTGGCCGCTAGGTTTCCCGCCAACAAGCCTTTGTACTCCAATGTGTCGGAAGTAAAGAGGTTGCTCGCTTAAGATGGTTGCACAACAGTTGGCGTGTTGATCAAGCCCCACGGGCTCAGCGGATCAGTTGCCATATACTTGAAGAGTGCCAAGGTCATTTTGCAAGGCAAGACGACTGAGGCAAAAGCTGCTATGGAGTCCCTCGTTAGTGCATGGACGGAGCCTTGGCCGGTTGGTGGACCAGCTGCAAAGCGCATCGGGGCCGCATGGGCGAACATCCCAACACCCCAAGCTGCGCGTAACTTGGTGTGTCATGCGTAGGTTGTCTTATCGTGAGCAGCCGACTGCGATCCTGAAACACGCATCTGGCATTAATTATTTGTCATGCAATTTGCTGTGTTTTCCACACAGACGCAACCCGGCTGACTAACATGAGCCTTCGACAAAGAATCAAGTCCGATCTGTGATGATGGTTGTGTCCGCTGCTGGCGCTGCTGCTGCTGTTGCTGCTGTTGTTGCTGCTGTTGTTGTTGCTGGTGTTGGTGTGGTTGTTGCCTGGTGGTTCCTGCTGTTGTGGTCCGTGGTGGTGGTGGCGGTGGTGGTGGTGGTGGTGTGGTTGTAGTGTGGTGGTGGTGTGGTTTTGGTGTGGTGGTGGCGCGGTGTTGGTGGTGGTGGTAGTGGTGGTGGTGGTGGCGGTGGCGGTGGTGGTGGTGGTGGTGGTGGTGCTGCTGCTGCTGCTGCTGCTGGTGGTGGTGGTGGTCGTGGTGGTGTTGTTGTTTGTTGTTGTGTTTGTTGCTGTTGTTGTGGTTGTTGTGGTTGTTGTTGTGGTTGTTGTGGTTAGTGTTGTTGTTGTTGTTGTTGTTGTTGTTGTTGTTGTTGTTGTTGGTGGTGGTGGTGGTGGTGGTGTTGTTGATGTTGTTGTTG